TTAAAATTGCCAAGCTTGAGGAACACTGGCCTAACAGATGGTTGGAACTGTGAATTCATCAAATGTCTGAGGGGGAAGAAGTCATACTTAGATTCAGTAGTGGCATTCTTAAATACTTGTTTCATGGGATCATACCTATCAACTCTATTTGTTCACTGTGAATATGTCACAGGTGTTACGTGTGGGCAGTCTTTCTCCCAATGCCGTGCCATTCTGCTATGTTTATTTCTATGTAAAGGCTGCCTTTGATACATCAGCATAAACTTATTTTAGAATAAAATCAAAACATTTTTTACCTTTTAATCTGTGTTATACATTAGCATCTGCATGATGGATTCCATGAATCTAGGCATTGTACTACTTAAAGTTAGGGCGTCAAATTTATATGAGCATTGGAAAACCACTATGAAGTCTATTTCACATAGGTAGGATGAATTGGTGTAGAACTCTGTTCTGATTTAAAACCAGATTTGTCATAGAAACAAGTGTGTTTGTAATGATATTAACTCATTACCAACCTTTTGTAATTTTGGAAATGAGAGAATATATGGTATTCTATATATAAGAAACGGAGATGTATACTAATGGTCTGCATTTCTAAAATCTAGACTAGATAAATCAAATGGAAATTGTTGTTTATTTGCACCCTGAAACCATCTTCCAACTTCAGCTGTATACAACCAGATATGCATAGCAACTAATGGACCTACAGAGAGATAGTCAAGGTGTGCCATTCACAGGGGGACATCATGTACCAAATGTGCCTTTGAAGTATGAGATTAGTGTGCATGTACACATCTGACTAAGACCATTTCACTATAATAATGCAACTCAGCTAGGTACACCAGAGTAAAAACTTATTGCTTACAAGTTGTATTGTGTTTGAGAATGCATGCAGGAAGAGGACAAGAAATCAGAGTGGTAGGACATGTATCAGAACAGAAAACAGAGTATGTGTGAGAGCAGTGGTGCTAGAAGGTGGTGATGAAAGGAGGAACTGGGAAAAAGTGGCACTGGAAATAAGGACTGTGTAGAAGACAGCCTGTTCTGTGTATAAGTAGGATTAGGGCTAACATAGGCTCCGCCCTCTCATATGTCCATGTGATGCTGTTACATGCATACAAAAGGGGTGGGGCTTGTGTTACACTGGTGTCACGCTGCAGATACCATTGCACGTCAGTAAAGAAAATCCTGTGTCCTTCAAACATAACAAAAGTGTTCCTGAGCAATTAAAGGATTTATGGCTTGTGCACACCAGCATATCTGGAGCCCCCAAATGGAGAAAGGCTGATGTATATCACACAAGTGGATTCTTGAGAGTTAGAGCACTGGATGTGGCCATCCTTGTTGAATGTATTAAGAAGTTATTAACTGAGATGGGACCACATAGGTATAATAGTAGTGCAAAATCAATGGATGTTTTTTTCTTTTCAGGGTTTATTTGCACAAGTAATTAAAGCCTACCCTTCTCACCCAGCAAGGAACAGAAACTTATTAAGAACTGACTTAGGACTGCCAAGCAATTCCAGTAAACAGTGGCTAATTAATCCAATTAAGAATCAGAACCAAGAAGCTGAAGCTGCTTTAAAGAAAAAAGCAAAAAGATACCTCTAATTAAAGGGCTAGTTGGAAGAAAAAGCAGTAATAGTATTTTGGAAATCCATGTTGGACAAGATGATATTGCATGAAGTTTTAGAGCAATATTGGTACAAATCAAGCCTGAGAAAGGCAGAAAACAATGTTGCAGAATATGAAATTATTTGGGTTCTTTGTAAAAATGATCTCATTGTGATGAAATGAGCAGTGAAGAGAGAACCATTTTAAATTACACTATAGTTCAAGTCCAAACTTCATCCTTTTAAACAGCAAAGAAGATTTAGCCATTAAAGCTAAATGCATGTCAGATGGTGTGGGGCTGACAGAGTAGATTGAAATGAAAGTATGCTTCAATGATTTACACTGAAGAGAGTGAAAAAATGAAAATAGGAACAACCCAATTTGCAGGGGAGGGTGAAGACAAGAGAAAGACAGAAACCAATTTGCTTCTTTGGGATGACAAAAAGATTTCTATGCTGAAACAACTTTTGTAAAACTTGAAACCCTATCTCTTCTTTGCACAGACATTTGTTATATGAAGTACAAAGCCGCAGTAGATCAGTGAATTCATAAGATGGACTGGATTCTATGATGTGAATAGCAGGTTACTGCTCAAAGGACTTTTAAGAAAAAGCTAATGCTGCCTGGAGCAAGCACTGCAGATGCTTAGCAACAAGAGAACACCAACACAGAGCCTACAGACCTCTTGGTAGGCCTGGTGGTACAGCAGGTTGCCATGACAGCAGTAGCACAAGAAGAAGGAGGTATATTGCTGTTGGCCAGCCTCACAGCAGGGGCACAAAATCAGAACTTGGCATATCTGCTACAGATTTACTGAGACTAAAAACAGAGCTAAGGGTGGCACAAACAGTCCTAGCACTGCATACATATTCAGGCTAATTCACACTTTAGGTGGTACACTATATGTCAGTACTGATTACAATCCACCCATATATACCTAAGTAAGAATGGTGACAAATGATCATGGACATTAGAAAAGGAAAAGAGTTTAATGGCAGGCCACACACTTTACATGCAGAAGACCTGGCAGCTCCAGGTAAGACTGGGAAATCCTGCCTCAAATCTTAGAGAGATGCTGCCAGTCAGTGTATATAGTACTGGGTTAGACAGACCAGTAGTCTGACATGCTGTTCCTTATGCTCCTAAGACATGTGATTTTAACCAATCCAGTCCTTTCATCCCTCTTGCTGTGCCTTTTCTTTGGACAAGTCATTCCCAGATCTAGTCTGCAGAAACGTGGACAACCATTAGATGACAGCAAAGAGTTAAGTTTTCTATATGTCTTTGCTAACATGTCATGGTCATCTGGATTTCTGCAACCTAGATATGACCCTGTCATGCCAAAACATAGACCAAAGTCTACATTAATGTGCATCTCTGACTGAATTCTCCTAAGATACAGTCTTATGCTAAACAAATACTGAATAATTCACCTGAAAGATACCTGATTGGGTCATCCAATGTAGATTCTGAATTTGCTTTTGTCTCCAACCAGCCAGCAAGGAATAAAGGCCATGTGTATTAAAGACACAGGAAGCCTTGATATAGGATAAATTTGTATGGTATCAGCCCAGTGATTATGGGAAAATCTAGAAACTGGGACTGTCATTCTCCAAGTGTAAGCCATAAGTAAGCCTGGATTCTCATGTATCCAGACCAATAGCTGCAAGGGGCTTGGAGGCTAAATCCTATGAAGAGTGATTGAAAAAACTAGGTATGTTTAGCCTAAAAAACTGAAGGCTAAGGGGAGACGTGATAGCAGTTTTTCAATACATGAAGAGATGTCACAGGGAAAATAGTATGGATTTATTTTCCAGAGCACCCAAAGGTAAGACAAGAACGAGTGGATGGAAGCTCTACAGTGAGAGATCCAAACTTGGAATAAGGAGGAATTTCCTATCTGTGAAAGCTATCAAGCAATGGAACAACTTGACTCCTAAAGTCATGGGTGCTCCATCAGTGGATGTTTTTGAGAAAAGATTGGACAGCCATTTGGCCAGGATGGTATGAAATCCTGCATTGGGCAAGTAGAGCAGAAAAAAAGAAAAAAGAATGCTATGATGCCATGACATACCCT